TTCAATACCTTCCATAGAAAGCTCCATCAAAATTTCCGCACCTCACTTAAAAGTCATCAGCTGATGTGGGTAATTGATGGAAGATTGGGATGCAAAGAAGGAACACACAAACAAGGGATCCAAATAATAGCTCAGAGCTTCAAAGGGATATAATACTTATCATCTCCTCCTTACACCGAGTCTTAGCTATGTATAAAGCAAATAGAACATTCTAGAATATTAAAGATATACTAGACCTAAGCTCTATTTTAACTAATATGTTCCACGTCATACTTCGCTTGCATTAGAAGAGTTTGACTCCATCGGGACGCGTCAATGGGAGAGAGGGAGGTGTAGAAAACATAGGTAACCCTCCTGGATCGAAGATTTTGAAGGTTCTCAATCTCATGTAACCAAACAAACTGCAAGAATACAATTTAATCTATATAAAGCAAGGTTCATTGAATTGGGAGATTTTCCAAATTTTGGATTCATAGCTTCTACACAGTGGGATCTCTTTGGTAAGGTTTGAATAATTCCAAGACCATCCAAGCATCTTCTTGTGCCTGAGAGATGTTTAATGACCAAAAGCTTCCATCAGGTGAACCCCAACCTACACCAACCCCTGGAATGGGTCCACCTCTGCCAAATGTCCCCAAATATTGTACCATTGGCAATTCAGAAAAAACCAAGTTCCCATATACATCCACTACTCTAATAAGAACATTGGCTTGATCACCTTCCCCATTTTTACAAAGTCGTTGAATAAGAGCATTATATGTTAGAATTGTCGGGTCTAATCCCTTTTCCAACATCTCATTTCAAACATAAAAGGTATCCTTCATCTCACTCTTCCTGGTATAACCACTAATTATGGTATTGTAACTTACAAGGTCAGGCTTGATTCCTCGTCTATGCATCTCATCGAGAAGTGCACAAGCTTCCTTTGCTTTCCCCAACAAGCATAGGCCTCTCATCAGATAATTGTACGTGACATCATGATGGATTTTCTTCTTCACCATTTCTTTCAAAATTTCATAAGTTCTTTTAAAGTTCCCATCACTGGAGTGGCCATCAATCATGACATTGTAGATCATAAAATCAGGGGGAAAGCCCTTGTTATTTACCATGTCCCTGAACATTTTGTCAACCTCAACCACCTTATTCCTCTTGCAAAGGGCATTAATTAAAGAAGTGTAGGTGAACCTTATTGGATTTCACTCGCTTCCTTGAAATTTCTTCAAACAAGTCAAATGCCTTATTTACATTGTCGTCCTTTGAATATCCATTGATTAGAATGTGATACCCTCAAAATGTTTAAAATAAAGTAAGCGTCAACGTCCTTTAATGTTAAGTTATTTTCATTAAATTGTACTATTGAAGTATAAAAAAAAGACTAATATTAAATAATAGTAACTTCTGCATTACTTACTTGATTTACTGATAACTCTAAGTCATTTGTTTCATTATTTATTCAAATCACTGTAGCCATCCACTTATATAAGCATGCACTGGTTTGATAGTAGAAGACACTGTAATCAACGGCTGAGATCATTTTAGTCAATGTTAGTGGAATTCCCACTAGTGCTGAGTGGAATTTCCACTAGTACTGCTATATTAGGGTAAGAGTGTAAGACACTGAACTCCTAATTCCCCTCCCATTCCACGACAGCTGCTGAAATTTCCAAAAAAAACAGCCAGCGAATTGAAGGGGAGAAGCTGGATAAGGCTGCTGGCTGACGGTGGGAGAGCAAAGGGCTGCAGGTAGTGTGCTGTGGTGTGGGTAAACTGTGGGTTAACGTGCTCCTGTGCACAGGTAATGAAAATATATCTATATACATAGTTGGGAACTTGTGTACGATTCCAAAAATCTGAAAGAACTAATAGCTATCTTCTCAGATTTTGGTTTTTAAAATGGGTAGGATGTTGATAGAAATGGCATTTTTGTTAAATAGGGTGTACAGAATTTTATGTGGAAAATTTAGTGTGGAAAAATCTGGTAAGGGGTTTGCTGGAATGCAATATTTTAGCAAAGAAATTATGAAGGCCGAATGTTGCTTTTGCTGAAATATTTTTTGTGTGCTGAAACCAGTTTGCTGACTTCAGTAGAGGAAAATTTGTTAGTTGAATGAGGAAGAGTGTTTTTGAGGTAAGCATGTTTCTTTATATAGCTTGAATTTGTGGTTAGCTTGACATTGTGGTTGAAGGTATATATAAAAAGTAAATGCTTATGCTTAGGTTGTTTATAAGCGAAAAAGAGACCGGGGTTTCGGAGAGCATCACCCAAATATTCTGGAGGATGAGGTGAGATACCAAACGATGCATAGAGAATAATAAAATTTTATACATTTGCTATGTATGATAGCATTATTTCAATTTATGCCACTTATTCATATATGTGAATTTTGATATGATTATGAAAATGGACATGAGAATGAAATAATATAAAGTTATTTAAGTCATATGTTGGGGGATAAGCCCGCACTAGTAAAGGCGAAAGACCTGAAGAGGTAAGCCTATACTTTCAATTCTAGAAGTTGGGAATTTAGACCCAACCCTGAATTGAGAGAAGAATTTCAATTCTAAAAGTTGGGAAGCTAGACCCAACCTTGAATTGAAAAACTAAAAGGGTGCAAAAGCTTATAGCCAGCATTTGACTTGTTTAAAAATGGTGTTGAATAATTAGTAAGATGGAAAGTATTGCTATGTTTTATTGTGACACATGTGAAAAGTGCTCTAACCATGTTATTATTTAGTCACTAATGTTATGCCTTTCTTCATATTAACAAATGTTGCAATTATTCTTCATACATTGCTTGTGTATTTAATTGGGCCATCGCTCATTGGCAGTGGTTGTATTGCAGGCAAGGGAAAGGAGCCCGTAGGGCACTAGGCGATAAAGAGGTGATCGTTCGTTTTTGATGTAAATATGTTTTGGTGTACAAAGAGATCTTAGAGGAGATCTTAGATAGCTATATAAACCTTTTTGTATGTAAGTAAATTTCGAAAGTTTTAGTAGAGCTCTGTATTTGTTTTAGTTATGTTTGATGTTCAGTTAGGTATATTACATGCTTCTTATATGTTGAGGTCCTTCTCTGTCATGCTTTAGTTGGTGTTAGAGGGTGAGCCAAACTGGGGTGTGACACCTAATGAGTAAGAAAATAAGTTAAAAGAAAAAATAACAAAAGTTCATATTTGTTTGTTATGACATCATTTGTAAAGCCTATAAGCTATTGATGCGACTGCCAACAGCAAAGTTGCCCTGGCGGGCAGTAGCCAGGGAAAGGGGGGAACTCATTAGAAAAGATGTAGGAAATTATTAGAGGATTTGGGTTGTTTAAGGTGTGAGATTATGAAGGGCTATGTTTTATGTTATGTTTTGAATTTCTACAATTGTTGTTGTGAGGTGTTTGCGGTTCCTAGTAGCTGCTAGAAATTGGGGGAGAGATGATTTACTTCTCAATTAGTGAATCATCTTATATCTTGTCTTACTTTGCTTGAAAATTAATAAAAACATCTCTCTTGGAGTTGTTTCTAGATTTATTTAGAGTATATGGTTATTTTTTTATATTGTCGTGTGTTGTTTTGATCTTTAAGACTTATCAAATTGGTATTCGAGCAAGACTTAAGACCTATGGTGCCAAAAAAAAGTGGATGCTTTGGAAGAGAAGTTGGTCAATCTAAATCTGAAGTTGAAGAATGATTTCATCCATGGAAGGAAGGTTTTCTAACTTAGAGGGCATGATGAAGAAAATATTGGAGCTTCATACCCAACCAACAGTATCAGAGGCGAGGGCACCAGTGGGTGGCCAAGGAAGAGGGGAAAACCCCAATATCAACATAATAAGTGATGATTGAGAGGTAGAAATCTTGGGGAAAATATCCATCTCTTGAACCGATAAGCCCGGAGGGAAATGGGCTAATGATATAACATAAGGAGAAATTGGGAGGAAGAAATAAGGAGGGATGATTTTGAGGAAGAGGATATCTAAGAAAGGAGGAGGGGTGGGAGAAAACAATGGAGAGATCATAATCGCTAGATGGGAGGAGCTGGAGGCAGAGGGGATCCAATAATATGAAAGCAGAAGATGCACAATTTTGAAGAAGATGCTCATGGGTAGATCTATAGGGTAGAGAGATACTTTGTAGTGAATGAGCTGATGAAGGAGGACAAACTCACGACGGCTGTGTAAAACCCGCAAAAATGTTGTTTTAGACCTCGCACGCTTTTCAAAGAGTCGCGGCGAGTTTTAAGTGGGAAATTCAAGTTTGTCGGATTTCGATGGAAATAATTTTGAAAAGTTCTATGCAAAATTCTAAGAAATTTGATATATAAAACTTATATTTAATTTTGCTTAATTTAGGAAATAAAAATTAGATAATCTCATAATACCCAAAGTACCCCTAGTGTTTATAAAGGCTTGGATAACTTAAGTGAGGGCAAATTTGGTATTTTGGAAATCCCTTTTCTCCCTAAATGAACCAACCGAGCCCTCCTCTTTCATTTCACGCATGGTTTGGCCGAAATTTGGAGAGAGCGGACGGTAGAGGCGACGGGCAAGGGAGACGGCCGGCTCCGGAGGCATTTTTCCGACGAAAAACTTAGGGGAAATTGAAGAGGAAGTCAAGGGAAGGAAAAGGTATGTAATAGAACTATGATTTTCCATCTCTTTCTCAAGATTTTTGGATAAGAAGATTTTTAGGGTTTGAAAAAACTTTGATTTTCTTTAAGAATTTTAATGGGGGATTGTTAGGAAATGATTAGGATATATTTTTTATGTATAGAAATGTGATTTTTTTTGGAAGTTTTGAGTTGGAGAAATTTAGGGTTTTTCCATAGAGTTAGAAATTTTGATAGTACTTTATAAAATTGATTTCTAAGGGTTCTAAGATAGTTTCTAAGGGAAGAAATTAAGTTTTTCTTACAAAAATGTATTTTCCTAATTTTTAATTATTTTAAATCTGAAAAATATATTAATTTAATTATGAATTAGGTGTAAGGGAGAGTTTGGCATGTTTATGTGAGGGAATCAATGAAAATGTGTTTTCCAAATTTAGGGTTTTAAGGTAATTCCGAAAATAGTATTTATTTTAAATTTATAATGAGTGTAGGGAAAGATGTGTGTGTTTATTTTAGGTGTTGAACACGTGGAAAGGAAGAGTTCGTAAGGATTTTTGACGAAGCACGTTGTATTGAGGTAGGTAAATGTGACACTTTTAAATTTAGAAGAAAATTTCAATTCTTTCCACCATAGCATGTTTTATATTGTTGTGAGATTTTTAGCATTCTTCCAATCGTACTGCTTTTATATCTTATTATGCTCCTAATGTCATGCACATGTTTCTAGGGTTGCCTAATTATATGTACTCATTTGGTAATGGTTTAGAGACAATGTGTTATCTTACATTACAAGTACATCTCTTAGGTGATGATATATATATATATATATTGCACTTGTCTCTTTCTAGAGTAATGATCAAAGAATGTACTTAGCTCATTTGCTTTCCTCATGCTAACATGAAATCATGTAGCACATTAGGAGACAATTGACCATATGCATGAATGAGAATATTCCTATGAATAATTAAAGAACGAATGTATGTGCATGTTGATGCGGAGGTATCTTTGATAAAGGGATGCTCTTCCGAGCATTGGTAAAGGTGGTTCTTATGAACCAAATGGAAAAGGAATGGTCAAACAAATTGTACCTGATCAGTACAAAAGATACCTCCGAGACGAGTGATTTCAAGATGCATATAAAACATCTTATGATTCATGAAAACAATTCATGTATTATGTAAAGTGATTGGTTGCAAGCTCAACTAAAGAAAGAGTCTTAATGGTTCACCTAAAGGCATTTTACTTAACTTTTATGATTTGTTTATTGTTCCTACACAAAGCATTGACATACATATTATTTCCCTTGCATTGTTCTCTAAATTTAATTGAAAAAACATTTGTCTATTGAGTTATGACTCACCCATGTTATGGGAAATTTTCAGGAGATCCTGCGAATAGATAATGGCAGACCAACCACCGCGCACTTATCATCGTAGGGAGACGACGGGCGGCAGGTTCTTTTGAGTTTTGTCATTTTGATGATAGAAGATTGTATGTGTAGATGTTTTTGTGAGAGTTAGATTTTTTTGGATCCCTTCTTTTGGAAGAACTCTCTATGTACATTTTTTTCTTTTGAAAGATGAATGAAAAATGAAAGTTTTAATTGGATTTACTTTAGTGGCTCTTTCTTTTTATAGTTGGAAATGCTTGGTTTTTGTTAGATCTTTTGATGATATGCTATGAAGGTTTATTTCCATCCTGTTCGACCTCTGTTCCCGCCTCGCACTTGTGAGCTAACCGGGCCGGGTCGTAACAAGAGTGGTGTCAGAGCAAAGGATTTGAGAATATTCATTTCATGAAAGAGCCTATAGGATGATGTTATAGGTTAGAGTAGGTATAAGATGCATGTGCTATATATTGCTTTGATTGCTTTGTTGCTTTATGTCTCAGGGCTGAGGAACCTGAACCTGATGCCACTGATGGCAATACTTGAGAGGCCAGGAGGGAATTGCCAGTAGTAGTGGAGCCTCAGGGCAGTAACATTAATGCTACTTTGGATTCTTTCACCCAAATGAAGGCGGCTATGACACAAATGATAAAGAGTACTCAGACTCAAGCCGGAGGAAGTGTAAGCACTATGATGGACAAGAATTTAAAGTTATTTCAAGATATGAAGCCACCAACATTTGTAGGAGGTGGACCCATAGAGGCGGAGGATTGGTTAATGAAGGTTGAGAAGATTTTGTAAGGAATGCTATACCCACAAGATAGAAGAGTTTCCTTAGCTGCTTATGCCTTTAATGGGGAAGCAGAAAGATGGTGGAGAAGTCAGCTAGAAGAAACTTTTGGTCGGAGACCTAGTAGCCAAGTGACATGGGAGGAGTTTGTTAAGGTGTTTAGAGATTGGTATGTACCAATGACTGCTAGGAGGTCAATACAAGACAAATTTATGAGATTGGTGCAAGGTGACGGAACCATTACGTAGTATGAGGCTGATTTCACCATGCTTTCTAGGTATGCCTCTCATCTAATTCCTAATGTAGAAGAGAAATATCACCGCTTCCTTTATGGCTTGAGAGTCAGCATTAGACAGCCATTGGTTCCTTTGGGTATTGAAGATTACTCTACTTTAGTTAAGAGAGCACGAAAGATTGAGCTGGATTTACAGAGTACTCAGAGGAGGAGAGATTTCCAGAAGAGGAAGAATGAAGATAGATCCAAATCTGCCCAGTCTTTTCATTCTGAAAGGCCTAATTGGAAGAAATTTAAATCCAACATTTTAGAGAGTAGCACTTCTACAGCTGTATGCAATAAGTGTGGGAGAACTCATAAGGGAGAGTGCCTCTCTGGCACTAATACATGCTACTAGTGTCACCAACCAGGGCATATGTCAAAGTCTTGTCATCTCTTAGGACAAAAACCTACTACTGAGGCCAAAACAGGTAACACTCTTCCTCAAAGGACAACTGGCAGGCCAAGAACTGTAGAGTCTACTGGATCTACCCCATCACAAGGCCAAGCTCGTCCACCGGTTCAACCAAGAGTTTATGGATTGTCACAACAAGAGGCTAAGGATTCTCCTGATGTTATCACAGGTATGGACTTTATTTAATGTCAATGAATTCATTTATAATGTATGAGTAAGATGAGCTTTATGTTATGTTACATGCATGATATTTAGGAATAATCTTTGTATGTAACAAGCCTGTTAAGGTGTTGTTTGATACGGGAGCATCACATTCTTTCATTTCGGAGGAGTTTGTTAAGTCTGAAGGTTTGTTTTCCTCAAGTATGCTCAAGCCTTTATTAGTTTTGATGTCCAATGGGAGTCAGTTGGAAACCAACAAAAGGTGTCATGTGGAGTTGGCTATTGGTGATAGAATCTTGGGAGCAGATCTTATGTTATTTTCTTTAATGGAATTTGATATGATTCTAGGTATGGATTGGTTGTCTTGTCACTTTGTGACCATAGACTGTAATATGAAAGAACTTAAATTTTGTATGCCAGGGGAGAAAGAATTTAAATTTATAGGGGAAAAAGGCATAACTTCTATGATAATCTTTTCCTTGGTGGCATACAAATTGT